ATAGCGTGTTTTGCGATAGATGGCGCGTAAATCATCTAGGAAATTGTCTAAGAACTCGGTTCACCTAAAAGATTCAACCACAGCGATACATTTTGATGATAGAGAACCCCCATTACACGTTAGTATACTACCGTCACCATCAGTCTATCAAGAGTCCACTGTTGAACTTGGGCGTTTTCTTTAGATTGCCTCTTAGGGGGGAGGAGGATATTTGCAATACTTTCCTCGCTTGGTAAGCGGGTTGGCAAACGCAGTTTTTTATTATTTTTCGTTATTATCATGAAGATGCCGCTGCACATCTTATCTATCATACGAAACATAATCCGCTGTCGCCTCTTACGGCTCCCACGGGTAGGGTTACCAGATGAAAAAATTAAAAGTCCGGAGAAGAGGCCTGATTTCCATTTAAAAATCCTCCAAACGAGCATGCGGCTTACCTGATGGTAAGTGACTACCGCCACCCATGAACAACCGCAACACCAGGGGAATTGCAGATGCGTTGCCGGCCTTTTAGAAAGGTGTAAGCTCTTTTCTTGAAGGTTCCTAAGTCGTATCGGTCCGGAAAATTCGCTGGTGGTAATTGATTCCAGAAGGAAGTTGTGCGAGGGAGAAAACTTCTTCTAAATCGCACAGTGGTGGACCGCCAATCATCCAGATGGTATGGATGGTAACGCGAGTTTTGTCGCGATGTGCGATGGTGAAATTGAGCGGCTGGAATTAGTCCGAACAATTCCTCAGAGCACTCCCCGTGATAGATGCGATAAAATATAACCTACTTGGATAAATAAGTTTTGATTTTAATTGTGGAATTATTACCAAAGGAAAATTATTTTTAGTTTGTTTAACTTTTTATTAAGAGATCTTTTAAAATGTAAGCTGTATTATATTGAAAGTTCTAGAAATCCTGAGATTTCATGAGATTTGCAAAATCCAGCCGCAATCCTGAGAAGAGTCTAAAAATCCTGAAATCTCAGGACAAATCCTGAGATATGGTAACTCTACCCACGGGTCGATATGGGGTAGGTAATGATATTCTGACACCGTTACTACACGTTATATCCTAAATTTTGCGTATCGCGTCTACTTATCTATCAAAATAAGTGGCACGTGTAGCGTTAACAATAATGGATACCATCAAATAAACAATTAAGGTACGTTGGGGTAAGATCGGTGATGGGGCAAGACCGTAGGATTCAAATTCCCGGCGAATTATGCTATATTTTGAAAAGCTAACAATATGCTACACGACGCCATTTCATCCTGCCCCGACCCTCAGTTCGCGCCAGTCACTCCGGCAAGTGGGAGCTGTGCTGCGTGGCATTTTATAAAACAATGTAATTTTTGTATTATTTTTGTCCATCCGATCTTTCCCTATCACTTTTATTTACGATTTTTAGCGAGAATATGGCTTCTTTTGTTATTATTTTGTGTGGATACTAAGTTTTATGAAGTTATAGCTAGATGAAGCTGGTCCATGCAGGGGTAAGATCGCTGTAGGCCGAGATCCGATGTTTCCCCTCGTGAGTGAAGATCGGATGAATATTATCCGATCTTTGCCTGTTACAAATATGGCAGTGGTTGTTAAACTTTCATTGGTCGTGTATATTTTTTCGTTGATTACTCAAGTGACTATGGGACTCTCGTTAGCAAGTCTGTATATTTAAAAGTAATAAAACAACACGATGGTTTTATTACTTTTAAGTACACATTAAAATACATTTTTTTTATAGGATAAGGGTGACAAAGGAGCACACAGTCCACCTGATCTTAAGTGATTACTGCGGCCCATAGACATCTATATCTATCCTCTATTACAAATCAAAATGTAATTTATAATAATTATTTAAAAAATAATTTATAATAATAAATGCCGCTTTGTTAAAATATTTATATCTTCCTTAACTCCTGCATTATCCCAGGGCATTTCGCCAGTCCTTACTGTTATTTTTTTTCCCATATAAAATCAAATGCATCCGATCTTTCTCTTATATTGAGTAATTCCATATTATGTCATAACAAAGTTTGAGAAACATAAAATTACAATTTCTTTATATCAGGGATAAGATCGGATGGCAAAAAACAAAAAAAGAGAAAATCGTTTGGAACATTTATGTTTCTAGTAATTTATAGATCATATTGAAATATGTTTTTGAGCGTTAAATATAGGACAAATCTCTTTTATAAACTTTTTTCTCTAAGCAGTAGAAGTGGTTTTAAATTTAAGTCCGGTCTTACCCCTTAATGGCCAATTTTTCATTATGCATATAAAAAAGTATGTCTATTTTTCGCACACCTTTAAAGCAGAAACCGTTGAGTTTACACAAGCAAAAGATTCTCAGAGCTAAACTACGTTTAACGATTAACGGTTTGCTCCATGTTCCATAAATCTGACGTATACGAATGTCGAGAAATTTTTGGCAGACTCTTCCAACTATTCGAAAATCCGTCCGGTATTACCCCAACGTACCTTATAAAAAACAGTACATTCTCAAATAATGATATAGTTTGACATTGCCAAACTTTATTTTGTTGACAAAAATACACTAAGTATTTATCTATTTATTTATTCTTTATTGCACTAAATATTTGTACAAAAGGCGAGCTTAATGCTATATGACATTCTCTACCAGCTAAGTATAGATTTTATAATCGACAGGAAAAGTTATCCATCGAATAATCATTTATTTCTTGTAATCATTTTATTCTAAATGACACTGGTAACTGCATTCCTGACTTTCCTATTACGAAAATGAAGATGTAAGTATATACAACTGTATTATATACAGAATGGGGTCTCACATATATGCAATAAATTAAACCACAAGTAATACTAGTCCATAGAAGTGTAGAAAAATTAAATATTAAATTAAAACCCGTAAAATAAAAAAGTGAAATTTTCAAACAAAATAAATATTAAAATAAATTCAGTAAAAGTAAACACTCTGTTTAGACAACGTACCTTTACCCCTTGGAAGAGTGGCAACGTTGCACGCGGGTGGCATGGCGGTTGGCGGCAGGCAGCGTTATTGTTTGTCGGCACGGCCTATGGTTCGTTGGACAATGTGCGACGAAATAAAAACTTACTCACTAAACTGTTTAGGTATTTTACCGCCACTTTTTTATTTCGCGAAAATGGAACTGAACGAAATAAATATTATTGCATATTAGTAGGAAAATTTAATGAAACCCTATATTTTAAAATTTTCAAAATCGTTCTTGAATGCACAAGTTACATCGCCGCATAATGTTGTCCTGAAGCTTGCTCAAAAAATTTCGTTCAGGATCCAGAGCCAGGGCTTTTAATTTGTTAAAGGCGGCAACAATACGATTGCGCAGTTCATCTTCGGTTTCGAAAATCTTTGAGTACACTTCATTTTTAATAAAGCCACATAAAAAAAAGTCTAGAGGAGTGAGGTCAAAAAAAGTAAAGTAGTTTCAATATCACAGTAAAAAATTAACGTACTTAAAACACTATTTACACACACAAAGTCAATCAACTAATGTCTATTTCACCGTAAAATAATTGTTTGACTAATTGTATTTATCTTACGATAATACGATAATTATCTTACGATAAATAATTACGATGCGCGTAGGCAGCGAAACGCACCTGTATCCTGGAACAATTGCGCGTGAACTGGAAGCTAAACTTCCAAATTCCAAAATGGCGAAAATAATAAAAGTAATAAATAGGGCGGCCACAAGGTGCAATAATCGTTTATCGATACTTTTCTTTTTACGTTTACTTACTTACTACATTTGAATACAAGTAATTTTGATTTTTGATTTCATAACAATCGACAAGTTATTGATATTTAAAAAAAAAGTTTATTTTTGTACAATTGAACTTACGAAACTACCGATTTGTGACTTCCTGGGAAACGGTTAAGTATGTATGACTTTTTAATTGGTTGTTTTTATGGGTTTTTTATCATTTTAAAATAATTTATTATCTCTAAATCTACAAGAACACACTTAAACAAAAAAAGATTTAAAGCTTAGCTTTAATACTTAGGTCGTAGTATTTTTAGGATTATCATAACAACACGATAATTCTAAAAAAACCATACCCAAAGTGTTTAAAGCTAAACATTTTTTTTGTTTATCGTTTATTACTTACTCCCTTTGAAAGAAGCTAATCGTCGATAACAGGTGTCCTACTCTATGACAAAGGCGCGCGCGCCGTTGCGCCGTCGCCTTTGAAGTACGCCGCGTGCCTCGTGCCGCTTGTTTATGCACGCCGACAAAAGACACCGCTGTCGATCCGTCGCAATACCAATAGTTTGCACTGCGTGGCAACGTCGCTTTTTAATATTCAAGGATTCAAGTTCATTGAATCATTGACTTAGTGACCCAATTCTATAGAGGGTTCAAATATGCTTAAAATTAAAACTCTACTTTTTGACCTAATTACTGGGCCGATTATGTTCATTTTTTGTACATCGTCAGCAAAGGCGATAACAAGTATGTGGTTTCATTTATTGCATATATGTGGGACCCCATTCTGTATATATACAACCTTAGAACGCGTACATTAAAGTTATATTTTGTTTAATGAATATCAAGCAGGTAGCGCGTAACGTAGCAATTAGCGCAAGATCCTCGAGCGAGTCTCGACCTAGTCACGTCGGAAGCATAGTGCGGCCAACTTCTCATGTACGCCTAATGGACGCAACATATTATTAAAATTAATGCGTGTTTTTAACACGACAAAGCTTATTATGCGTTGGTAGTTTGCATGCTAATGCTATGTTATTCAAATTTGTATTAGACTGCTGGAAAATTATTAATTATTAGTTCACTGGGTTATATTTTTTGTTGTGGAGGTTTTTCAATTACTTACATAAATTGCTCATGGGCAAACAACACGGTCCGTAACAATTATCTTTCTTTTTTATTTTAAAACGTTACCTACTAGGATTTTCTCCTGTATCGTGGGGGCAGTTTACATACATAAATTTCATTATCTATATAGGTAGTGTTAATGAAATAATAAGTTTAGACTGTTTAAATCTTTTAATCTGTTATTAATTTTTAAACACCGCAAATTTCAAACTACTAGACCTCCGTTTTGTTTCTAAAAGTTGCCAGTTATATAAAAACAACTCCCTAGGAGGCTATTAATACCATAGTGATTTATATAAATTTTCCCAAGTAATTTAAATAACAATATTTAAACAATAAAAAGGACAGAATTAAAACCTTAAATTAATATTTTTAACAGTCGGCCATCCTGAAATGGTGGCTGTCCCAGACACAAGAAAAAAAATAATATTAAAAAAAATGTTATTGGAATCAAATGTAACCATCAATTGTCTATTATACTGGAACACATTCATATAATGAAATATTACACATTGCAAAAAAAAATTACAAAATTACAACTGGTAGCTTGATAATTTGTCGGCCATCCCGCACCACAGAATGTCCCCATTCTGTACAATGTTTAGATGTTGGAATTATGTGCCTTGAGTTTGTTCAGCGTCCCTTTCTCGCGAGAAGTTCACAGCATCTGTACAGCAAATTGGGTCGGCTGGGCACCGCTTGCATACATAGTATGCTTCGGCCTCACTCCAGCGAAATTAAGTAATCTCTAGGCACCGCTTGCACACACAAGGTACTTCGGCCTCTCTCTAGAGATTTTATATGAATGGGCACCGCTTGCACACAAAGGGTGTTTCGGCATCACTCCAGTTCATTTCAACTCAACAAGTCTGGGCACCGCTTGCACGCACCAGGTGCTTCGGCCTCACTCCAGATCATCAAAAGCCAACAAGTCTTGGCACCGTTTGCATTCGCAAGATGCTTCGGCCTCGCTCCAGGAAATTTCATTGTTTACTGGGCACCGTGTGCACACACAAGGTGCTCTGGTCTCCCTCCAGTCTTCTAGGATATCAGCATTGCTTTACTGCCAGGGCACCATGTATGCACCCTCGTTGGCATCATAGAGTTCAATTAGGACTGGATGTTGGAAAAGAATACTCAGGACAAGGAATTAAGGAAATTTGTATATTTGAATAGCACACTATATCAGAATCACAGGGCAGTAGTATAAATAACACAAAAAATTACACGATTTGTACGGGTGAATAATTAGATTAATTGTTAGTTACTGTCGCAGTAATCACTTTCGGATTCTGAATCATTAAATGTCACCCAAGGCTTTAATTTATCTACCGGGAAAACGTTACTATACTTTTTTTTTGAGTAACCCTCAACGCTACAAATCAAATAACGGTCATGGTCCAACACTGCTGTCACGCGATATGGGCCACTGAAGGCTGGGACAAGTTTCTGATTCTCTCCGGGTGTCCTGGTACTCTTTTGTGCCATTACTAAATCCCCGACCTTGTATACTTTGGCCTTACATCTTTTTTTATCAAACCGTTCCTTCATTGTCGCTTGTTGTATAACTAACTTATCACTTGCCTCATTCCTGATTTTCTGTATAGTTTCGGGCGAAATATCTTTAGATGAAATTATTTCGTGCAGGTGAGTCTCAGAAGCATTTACCGTATTTTTTCCGAAAATAATTTCTGTAGGACTTTTGCCAGTACTTTGGTTCACTGTATTATTGAGACTCCATTGCACCTGATTAATATGAAGGTCCCAATTCCTATCATCCTCTCCATGACATAAAGCTGTGATCGACGCCAGGATTGTGCGGGGTTATACCGCTCAATTTGGCCATTAGCCCGAGGGGTAGCCACTGCGTTTAAGATGTGCTTAAGTCCTACTGATTCAACGAATGTTTTAAATTCATTGGAAGTAAAGCTAGTTCCCCGATCAGATATCAAGCTTTGCGGTACCCCGAATAGTCCGAATACGTCCTTAAGAACGTCGATCGACGTCTTGCTTTTTGTATTTTTGACCGCTTTTATTACCACAAACTTTGTGAAGCTGTCAATTATACCGAGAATATACATATTACCTCGTTTGGTTTTTACAAAGGGACCCAAATGGTCAATATGTAAGCATTGAAAAGGGTTACAAGGTTTTGGTATGGAATGTAGAAATCCTTGTTTTTTACCGCCTGGCTGTCGGGCATGTGCGCATGGAATACAAGCACGTACATATTTTTTTACAAATTGAGTCAATTTAGGAAACCAGTAATCTCTTTTCACTTTTTCCAATGTTTTCTCACAGGAAAAATGACCAGCTTCGTCATGGCACTGTTGACAAATCTTCCACCGTGCATCTCTAGGTACCGCCCATCGTAATTGGCCTTCAACTCTCCTATAAATCTTACCATCTTTCAGTACGTAGTTATTCTGAATGTCTTTTGCCTCTTGACTTTTGGCATCCAATACAGCCTTTATATGGCAAAGTCTGGGATCACTCATCTGTACCGATTGTAACCAATGCACTTCTCCTATTTGTAGCACATTAGTAAAGCTATTCGAACTGTAGAATTCATTAGCCTTTTCTGAAGATAGTGCGTTTCGGCTGAGTGCATCTGCGTGAGCTAATTGTTTTCCTGGACGGTATTCAATTGAAAATGAAAATTCTTGGACCAAGAGCCACCATCGAGCTATTCTCGGTATAAGGTCTCTCTTGGTCAAAGTTGTACGCAAAGCATTGCAATCTGTAACAACCTTGAAGTCAATGCCAATGAGATAAACTCTGAATCGATTAAGCGATGCGACAACGGCCAGCGTCTCAAGTTCATAGGAATGAAAATGTTGTTCCTCGGCTGTAGTCTGCCTGCTAAAATATGCTATAGGTCGAAACGCTGCAGCTGCACTTTGACGTTGGAGCAAGATGCCGCCTAGTCCGGAGGAACTAGCATCAGTGTGCAATTCGGTCTCATAGCAGGGATTATAAATGGCTAATACTGGGCGTGTTGTTAATATTCTTTTAAGTTCAGAAAATGCTTTTACTTGGTCTTTATCCCAAGTCCATGTTGCGTTTGCTTTTGTAAGAGAGGTTATAGGTTTGGCAATTGAGGCGAAGCCCGGTACAAAACGTCGAAAGAAACTCGACAAGCCTATAAACTGACGAACCTCGTGTACATTTTCGGGCACCTTAAAGGCAGCAACAGCTTCAATCTTTTTAAGACCTGGCCTTACACCTTCGTGCGATATCTCAAATCCAAGGTAGTTAATTGATTTTTTAAAGAAATTACATTTCGTAAGGTTCAACGTCAAGTTTGCTTCCTTTAACAAGTCGAGTACGGCTTGCAACTTTTCCATTCCTTCGTCTATTGTTTTGGATGCAATTATTATATCGTCCATGTATGCTAAAACTCCTGGAATATTACGTTTTTTTAGAAGATTCAAAATGAGCCTCTGAAATACCGCCGGAGCATTGGTCAGCCCAAATGGCATACGATTGTATTCGTAGTGCCCATCTGGAGTGACGAAGGCCGTTAGTGGTTTCGACTCCTCTGATACTGGTACTTGATGGTATCCAGAAGTAAGGTCAAGCGTCGTAAAGAAAACCTGACCGGAGAGGCTATCTATCTGATCATCGATCAGAGGCATCGGGAAATTTTCTCTAATAGTCTTCCTATTTAATGCTCTGTAGTCAACACAAAGCCTTGACTCGCCGTTCTTTTTTGCGACTAATATTATAGGGCTAGCGTACTGAGATTTTGACTCTCGTATGATGCCATTAGTCAACATATCGCTGATGATGGCATTGAGTTTCCCGCGTTCAGATAATGAGAGTCGATATGGCCTGTAGGTTACCGGTTCATCATCTTTGAGCTTGATGTGCATTTCAGCGTGAGAAGTTTGTCCCAGTTCCTCAAGTGAAAATGCAAAACAATCGCGTCGTGAATTTATTATTTCAAGTAGCCTGTCTTTTACTTCACATTGTAGGCCATCGTCTACGTTAAGCTGATCGACAGTTATAGTCTTAGTCGAGTCGTTTGTTGTTATGCTACTAATATTTTTTATTATAGTTTCATCTGTTGTAACTTTAGGCAATAGTTCGTTTGAAATGAATGTCGCTCGAGAGATTAACGTACCCTGTGGCAAACTAAATGGTTCTGAATTTAAACTGATCACGATGACGGTCCCCTTCCCGTGTTCTATAGAATACACCCCCGGAATCACCATGTATTCCTTGCCTTTCTTTAAACAGGGATCTGTAGAAACGAAAATAGAACCGCTTGCTTTAACTGTTGTGCCACATGTAACAATTGTTACTCCGGAAAGTAAAACGCTTTCTATAATAACTATTGGAAGTTTTTCAGTTTGAGTACCCAATTTCTTGTAAAATGTTAATTTAGTGTCAGATTTATACGCTTGTACATCTGGAAGTTCTGTGAAGGATTGTCCAATCAAAACATCTGCTGGCAATAAATTGGGCTCCACTAAATAGGCTTCTACTCTTTCATTTATTCCGTCTAATTCCACTTGAATGATGATTCGGCCATACGGAATTAAGATACCATTGCCAAATCCCTTCAATTTTGGTAAATTGATGTTATCAATCGGGATGTTCAACTTTAATCCTAAATCTTTTCTTAATAACGTGCACTGACTACCAAAGTCAATAAAACCTGATATTATTTGACCATTTACTTTAACTTGTTTATAGTATTTATTGCCTCTGCTGTCGTTATTTGTAATCTTTAGTACACTTTTGGTTGTATTCGTGGTGTTTAGGATTAATCTTTGATCTTTTTTGGTTGGATCTGTAAATCCATTACAGTCTTTTTCTGTGTGACCATAGCGTCTACACTTTTTACATTTAATAAGCTCCTTGGAACATCTTGTGACAGTGTGACCTTGTTCACCACAGTTAAAACATGTTATCAGAACTTGTCTTCTCACGTTTAAGTCCATAGTTTTCTTAATGTGACTGTGGTCCGTATTATCACGATTAATCGGAGTGTATCTCTTAACCGTGTCTACAACCTTACTCGATATATTTCTAAAGTACTTCAAGACTTCTTCAGGTTCTTGAAGGTTGGCTCCTTGCACATTCATTCTCACATTTGAATCAAATATTCCGTGAGTCAAGCAATCTACCGCATGCCTGCCTTTAAGTTCGCATCTGTTGACAAGCATAATTTTGTCGTAATAATACTCTTCCAATGTTTCGTTGCGTCTTGTTTTTCGTATTAACATTTCGGACAACAAGTCCCCATAGTTCTGCTCACACGGGAATGCAGATAAAAGTTTATCTTGCCATTCCGACCAGGTATATTTAATGCTTGTTAGTCCATCATACCAACGTTTGGCTAAACCTTTCAGCTTAGGCAAAGCACAGAATATCGTTTGACGTTCTGACCACCCGTACACATGTGCTGACTCGTTTATTTTAGAAAGCCAATCTTTCATTGTCTGTGACTTAGCTTGTGGGTCGAATTCTGCTATCATGTGCTGAGCGTTATGTATGGCAGTACCAGGAGACCCAGCATTAATTTTATTGTTGAGAACACTAACTAATTGCTCTAGCAGCGTTGTATTCGGTGTTTCCTTTAAACTAAGTGACTCGCGTGAACCATGACACCGTACTTTAGAATTATGGCTTTTGGATAAAATTGAAGAATTTGATCTACTTCGCTTCAAAGTATTTCTCGAATGCCTTTGAGTATATTCTGTTCCCGATCGTCCCGATTCTGACAACAAATTTCTACCTTTTGACGAGCTACTTAAGCTACCTCGGTCATGTGATTGTCGTTTATTATATGTCCGAGACATGACTCGGTATCGATTCCTTGATGATACTGGTGTCCGACAACGGCTTCTACGATGACTATATTGCGACGTATGAGAGCGATTATCACTCTCTGCAGGAGAACGCGATGCAGTCCTCCTATATTTACTGCGAGAGCATGAAACTTTGCGATTACTTCTACTTGATGACATTCGCTTATCCGTGATGTGAGTATTACTACTACTGCGTCTGGGTGGTAAAGGTGGTGTTGCATTTGGTGTTGTATTTTCATTAATGGGGTCACACGAATAAGAATTCATTGTTAATAGCTTTAGGGCTTAAGGAAGTGGACTGGAATGAACTCAAATCTGAAATATTCAGAAATGTCTATGTAAATAAATATATCTCTTACAATGGCATATCAACTTCTTGAGTTTTGTATAATATACATATGACTTCATAGCAACTTAAGTCAAATAAATATAGAACACTAACTAAATTTGCTAGAAGAATTTTAATATATGTACCTCTTGTAGTCTCAACCCTCAGAGGTTAAGAAATAAAAAAAAAAGTTATATTAAATAAACAATCCTATAAAAGTAGTTACTAAACATATCCCATAGGTTACCTAATAAGGTTTGTTTGACCAACCTCATCAATAGGGTCATTTACTATCACAGGGTATGAAGGCAATACTTAGTAAATGTATATATATTTGTATGGTTCAACCCGGAGCCTATGACTTGGCAGGCAAATATTGTTCACTGAGTCATATGTTCATCATTACATTATAAAATACTGATTGAACAGGTCACAATTATCTCTCAATATGAGTAAATTAAAATACAAAGAAGAAAATAATAGACAACTTCCAATAATATAAAGTTATTATCTTCATATTCAAACCCTTCATTTTCTAATACACTTAACTGATATGTATTTCAGCCATTTTGTTACCTTTGGGAGAACTAACTATAAAACATTAAAGGAAATGTATTAAGGTTTATTCATAATAAAAATATATTCTAATAAAAATTGTTAAAAGGCAATTGTTTCACAATATTACTAAATAAATTAAGATGACACTCTAAACACATGTAGAAAAACTTACCTTTCCACTATAAGGTTTACTGGAAGAGAAATCTTATCAAATTAAGGTCACCTTTATGCATATTTAACATTAATCAGTTTCATGAAAATTTTATTATATATTAGAACAGACTCATTAGTGCGTACCTCGATGAATCTTCTATTGAAGTATGAGATGGCAAGATAATATATAAACAGTTAAATATTTTCTTTTTTTTTATATTATAGGAGTAAAATTTTGTAGTATTGATATTGCAATGAGATATTTAATGTAGTATGCTTGTTACCATTTTGCATCAACATTAATGATCAAATCTCATTCTAAATTAAGATGTTTATATCTTCACATATATTAAAGCATGTCCTAAGTATTAGTAAACTACATGTTTTATATTTATTTCAGAAAATACATATTTTGCCAATGTAATAAGAGATCACATAAATTATTAAATGCAGCTGGGGTGGCTACTAAGACAACATTATACAAAAGTACATGCAATCAAAAACGTTACATGAATAGGTACAAAGACATTAAACTTGATTTACACATATAAATATTTTTATATAAATAGGTAACTGACATGATTTCTGTTCGAGCAGTTAATTACTTTTTTTTTGAATCAGGAATCTTTCCACTCCCCCAATAATATGATAATGATGATACAATCAAGTATTTATTAATACCTGATCATAATAATTGATTAATTGCTTAAATTTTGAACTTTACAACATTCTCCATTTTGTTTGTTAAACTTATGAGCTAATTAGATATAATTCACTTACCCAATCCTCACTTATTTTACCTTTCAGTAGATTTAGTGTATAAAACACATGGGCTAACTAATCCCACTTCTGAATTGTTAATGAAATAATAAGTTTAGACTGTTTAAATCTTTTAATCTGTTATTAATTTTTAAACACCGCAAATTTCAAACTACTAGACCTCCGTTTTGTTTCTAAAAGTTGCCAGTTATATAAAAACAACTCCCTAGGAGGCTATTAATACCATAGTGATTTATATAAATTTTCCCAAGTAATTTAAATAACAATATTTAAACAATAAAAAGGACAGAATTAAAACCTTAAATTAATATTTTTAACAGTAGGTATATAGTATTGAAACCCGTGTGGTGGCGGTGTAAGAATATCCACTACCCCATATCGTCCGGTGGTTGTCGTGAGAGGCGACACAGGGAAACCGAACCAGATGGACAGCAGTATGTTCCTGATAACAACTTAAAATTATAAACTGCGGTTACCAACCCGCCTGCCAAGCGTAGCAACTGTGACAAAATCCCTTCAATGGGGCACTCATGGGGAGGCTTATGTTCAGCAGTGCACTTTACAAGGCTACAATGGATAGATGGGATAGATGGATATAGTATAGTTCCGTGGTGTTGTATCAATGTGTCCGTGTTGTATCAAGTCAGTAATATAAATTGTAAATTAAGGACCGATTTTTCAATACTCCGATACTATTTATTCATAGAATATATCAAATGTTGCACCTTTTTTTTAATGAAAAAGAACACCTGTGTGCTTTGCATTGACATACTTTTAATTCATACACTTATTTTAATTTTTTTTTTAATTATGTTGAAAGTCAATTATGTTTTTTTTTGACTTCCAACTTCATTTAAGAAAATATAATGTTCCCATTCTTAAAAAAAATACACTTCTCTGTAATTAGTACACAAGGAACTACACGTAAGGTGTTCGGAAATGTCCACGAACTTACATAATATGTGTATGAACCGATTTCTTGTTATATATTTCGTAACAAATATCCAGTACGATGTCTAAAAATCCCAAATACGGTTTATTTCATCCAAAATATCCTTCCAGTTTTGGCAAGCAATGTTAGCCGAAAGTGCCAAAATGAAGAAAGCCACTGAAATGTTAAAAATAATAATATTAATTTGTATTACAGTAAGCGCCAAGTAATTTTTTTGAATAATTCTGTTTTTTTTTTCAATCTTAGGAAAAGTCCTCTAGCCGTTCCAGAGTACAGCCGTGGACTAAATGCTCATTAAAAAGAAACTATAGAACTCAATAGCTAAGGATAATTCATATAAAAGTTGATATTTTATTTGTTGTTTTGTTACATAATTGCCTTTCATTATTGGAATAATGTTTTTCATCTACCACCATATTTTGAATACAATTTGTAGTTGCAAATGGGTAACACATGTATTGAAAGATACAGATATAATGTGCATTATTTGTGGGTAAATCTCCCTCTTTGATATTATTTTCCTTTTTACTGTTTCAAAATGCAGTCGCTGCAAAGGTATTTTTGTTCTCGGGCGACCCAAATAACTGGGGCGTAGACTTCCGAATTCTCGATTCGAAATATCGCTTTTTGCATCGATCTCGTTAGAAAATAGTAAACAACTTCTCCTTATTCCTTATTGGAATATACTGTTTTTACCCGACTGCCCCAGGGGGTAATGTTTTTCGGGAGTACATTCTTTGGCACGTTATGTAGCTTGATGGATTTTAACATGAAGAATCTAACGATGTATTAGTCTTAATTGTAGAGGCCACATAGGCTATGTAATATTTATATATTGCATCTGCAAAATAAATGCAAAAACGGGAGGGCAAAGTTTTTTCAGTAATCTTTTTAACGCAGTCGTGTTTTTTAATTACTGTTTTAAACCTGTAAGCTTGTCACTTGTTGGAATTTTATCACAGGGCATGTCCGCGAATCCGAGCAGAATTTCGAAATACATAATATGGTGGTGGCATAAATGAATCCTTTATCACATCTTATTATGTGAGTGTCTTAAAAAAAATAACATCAAAATTGAATTACCGATACATCTAGGAAATACAATCTTGTAACAGGTGCAACGTGCCTAACATGTGATGTGCAAACTAAGATGTATCTTAAGGTGCCACGTACCAGATGTGCGATGTGCAAACCAAGCATTATGGCAAATTTTACCAACATAGGCGAGTGCAATAAAATATTTTGATTATGAGTAGGGACACGCGCTTCTCCCGATACTAACTGATACCGACTCTTATAATAAAAAAAAAACCGGCATAGTGCGAGTCGGACTCGTGCACCGAGGATTCCGAACAAATCTGTAGGTATATATTAAGTTTTATAGTATTAAAATCATATAAATCAATGATTAAAAGTATTTTTATTATATGATGTAACTAAAAATTTATGCTTTTCGCAATTTTTCCTTTATCTGTGCTATAAAATGTTGCTTCGTACCAAATTTCAAGATTCTGAGTTCACGGGAAGTACCCTGTAGGTTTTGATTCCCTTGCGAATATCGAAAATTTGCGGCAAAACTTAGAAGTTTGATTTTTTCACAGCTCTAAGGGACAGTAGACTTGAGTATTTGAAATGAATTTCAGCTTGATACCTCCACGCATTCCTGAGAAATAGGGTCTTAACAGACAGACAGACAGACAGACGGACAACAAAGTGATCCTATAAGGGTTCCGTTTTTTCCTTTTGAGGAACGGAACCATAACTAGCTGCTCCCCGGGACTTCGCCCGCGTGGAATTTGTTACGATTGGATTTAATGGGTTTTAATTTTTTTGCACGGAACCCTAATTCTTTTACTAAAATAAAAGTAGCCTAAAGTTACTCCTTATAACATCAGCTATCTACCAACTCTACCAGTGAAAATCTCGTCAAAATCGGTCCAGCCGTTTCGGAGATTAGCCGGAACAAACGGACAAAATTTTAAAAAAATTGTTGTTTGTTATAAGTGCCGTAAATACTTTCATATGCATTTAGTAAAAAGCTGTTTGACATTACATACAGACACGTCAATTTTATTTATTTGTACAGATAGGTATAGATTTCGCGACATCGATATTCTTAATTAATTTAAAAGAAGATAAAATAATACTCAGATTAAGTTGGGTTACACTATTAATTCAATTAAAAAAAATGGTTTTAACAGACAGGTAACTATGGTTGTAATCCCTGAGAACTTTCAAAAGTTAGTAATTATAATTAACATTAAAGCTTCTCGGATGCGACAGAACTAGTTTGAATACTAAAGAATTCCTAGGTCACGTCAAATAAATATCGCCCGTGACGGTGGTAGGACACCTTTTGTGTCTAGGAGTCCGTCAGGCTCGTTACCACTCTCTTACCTATTTATGCGATCAAAAAGCAATGCGTGCACTGCTGTGTTCCAGTTTGAAGTGTATTTCCATCTTAGTTCTCAAAGGTGACAACTCATCCGCAACCTTCTTTGTGTGAAACTGGCTGCTGGTTTCCACGGACTGCAGTAGCAACTTACCAATAGTTGGGTTATAAGTTTGTATGTCACATCAATTTTATTAAAAAATGCCGATATAGCGACAAATCCAGAATACCACCGATTTTATGTTATTTGTTTTGGTATCGGATGTATCTAATTATCGGTTTCATGTTGAGATATTGAAATTAGATCTTGCGAACGAACTAACATATTTACGTTCATGCAGCTGTCTTGTTGGGATAAGAACGTGGGTGTAATATTAGAAAAATCAGCACGGCTATTCGCCGGCCACTGACACACTTCCCGCCAGTCAAGGTTTAATACGGGAATGCCAAGTGTGTTATTTTGTCATGGATAGAGAATTAGTTCCGTTAACAGATTTAACGAGAACAATAAGGACTTAAATTTTCAATATATCTTAACTTCCTCGCTGTAATCATGTAGCGTAATGTTACACTAAAAATGTGTGAAGCACCCTAGGCGAAATACATCAAAGTCCTACAATCGGCGCCAATGCTGCGCGCGGCAGGCTGTTATAATATGTACGGGTGTGTTAGGGTTGTTGCGGATGCGGATTTTAGAGGCTCACATCCGCGGTTACGGATGCGGAGTTCAAGTTTTGTTTTTAGGAAAAACTACTTATTAGGGGAACAATTAAATAAAAGACGATTATTTTTGTATTATTTTTTAAATATTGATGTTACTGAATAAAACTACTTTTACTTTTAATTAACTTATTTTGCTTATTTTTATTAATTCGAAATTAACAAAAATAAGCAAAAGAAGTTAATTAAACGCGATAAAATCCGTAAAAGTAGTTTTATTCAATGTGTAGTGTTCGCGTAAATGTAAGAAATCATTTTGATGTTACATTCAAAACAATTTTTTAATAATTAAAATTAATAATTGGTACATCATATTTTAATGACAAAGTAATATCGCAGTTTTATCAGCCTCCAGCCGGTTTCTTAGTGGATCGTAGATTAGCCCAGCGCAACTAAATAATAGTTCACTGGGAACGCTGACCGGTAGAGGGGATAAGTACTTGCGTGCTCACCCAGAGAGAATTTTCAATTCACTTTCCACCATGTCTGTGGATTTTGATCCACATTCAGTCTTTTTTTCTGCCAACTCTTTATTTAAGATAGCATCCGGCTTGTCAAGTGTTTCTTCTTGACCATTATCTCCACTCGATGAGTGAATAAGAACATCTAATATCAAGGCAAGATCGACAACATCCAGACCCGGAACAATTTGTAGGCCATATAAATACTGGTTTCGGCATCACTTTAAATGTACGCAGCTCCCCGGTTACCTTTCTTTGATCATCCGAGACTGATATCTGTTTCTAGCTTTATTGTTACATTGACTAATTCTTAGTCTGTGATTCATCATGTGACCTTTATCGTTTTTTTCTTTTCCAGATGATGCGGGGGGACTTTCTAGTAATAGAATACCTAGAGTGGGATAATTGCTACACGGAGATCGTGCCAAAGGATCGGCTACGTGTCAAGACGCCCAAGACGCCCATCGACAAGAACACCTTTCACAAGTTTGAAATACCCGTACCTGATGATCTCAAGGAATAGTAAGTGCTTACAGTAGTGTATATTGTTATATAAGTAATAACTGCTTCGATAGATTCTAATTTATTTAAATGGTAATAAATTTAATTCATGGTTTTTTTGCCATTATTTGTATAAA